TGTCACTAAGGGGTCTAAAGTGTGCCAATTAAACATCCCCCACACCATTACACCACCACCACCAGCCTGCACAGTGGGAACAAGGCATGATGGATCCATGTTCTCATTCTGTTTACGACTCTACCATCTGAATGTCTCAACAGAAATCGAGACTCATCAGACCAGGCAACATTTTTCCAGTCTTCAACTGTCCAATTTTGGTGAGCTATTTCAAATTGTCGCCTCTTCTTCCTATTTGTAGTGGAGATGAGTGGTACCCGGTGGGGTCTTCTGCTGTTGTAGCCCATCCGCCTCAAGGTTGTGCGTGTTGTGGCTTCACAAATGCTTTGCTGCACACCTCGGTTGGTTATTTCAGTCAAAGTTGCTCTTCTCTCAGCTTGAATCAGTCGGCCCATTCTCCTCTGACCTCGAGCATCAACAAGGCATTTTCGCCCACAGGACTGCCACACACTGGATGTTTTTCCAGAGAATGTCCGAGTGTATTGGGTTAGCTGCACACTCTGATTGGCTCATCGCGTTTGAGGGCGTGGCTTAGCCATAGGTCAATTCAATCAGCAAAAAAGATTTAGGCCTACTGTAGCTTGGCAAAATGTATTATGCAATATCCACAGAAGAGTGTGAAATTCAACTCATTTTGTTGCAGTACAAATTGTTCTTGCATTAAAAAAGAAAGATAAACATTACAAGTTTTTTCTGTACAGCGACAGCTTTGAATGTGAAAATCATCTGTGTTCTTCTGGAGGGTTTTCTTTTATGGTCATTGTTCTCTCAGCCATGGGATCGAGCCAATAGGTTTGATGGCCGATTTGCCAGCAGGGGTAACTGCTACTATTACTCTGCTGTGATTTGTGGCAGGGTGGCTGTCCCTCAGGAGTCCTCTAGCAATAATAGTTTACTGTAAATAATGCTCAGCACTTAGTGACCGTTGTACAACGCTCCACAGTTGTTGAAGTCATTAAACACTGGTACAGCTGTAATGAGAGCGGACGGGCAGGAGTTGGGTTTCAACTTTGCTTTTGTCCGCTGTTTAAAGCAGGTTTTGTGTACCTGGCGCAGACTCATTCTACTCTACAGCCTGGTGTTATTCTGAGAAATAAGATGGCCTAAAGTGCGCTTATGATCTCTGTTCAGTCTAATCCTCAACTAGTGTTCCTTTTCAGGCCTTGTTAATGTTCTTTAGGGACAGAAGTTTAGTGTAAGGCATGATTCTGATTCATCCCGATTCCACTTAAAGATTCCCTTAATAAGCCATTATTATTTTTGAAGGAGCACCAACACCTTGAATAACTATTCTTAATGAGATCCTAAACAAAAATAGTGAGGGTAATAAGGGTAAGCTCACACTACAGGACTGTAAGACTTCTGAAATTTCTGTGGTGTTCACACTACACAACATGGTTTCTTTTTTTGTCATCTGTTATAGTCTTATAGTCTTAAAAATGTAGTCGCTTTCTCACATAAATTCTCGTAAAAACCTCATGCAGGTGTTTGAGGTGTTTCCATTAATAGCATCTGCACTGTGATTGGCTGGATTACTTCCACCTTGTCATTGCACAAACTACAAGATTACATGGCGATAATATCAAAGTGGTTTGAAATTGTTCCAATGTCTGTGACTGCTCAGACTTTGGAAAAGGCAAAATCTAGCCAAACGTTGTATGTGAGCTTGCCTTTATCTGTCTCGGATGTCATCTTTTAATAGTTACCGTATATGGATGAGGTCAGTCAAAGGCACGTCTGTTTGAGTGGTTGATATCTTGATCACACTTTTGCATGTTGCATAACCTATAATAACTGTGTATGATTATATGGCTAGTTGCGTTGCATTTTAATTTAGCATTGTTTTTACATGCTGTCCATGACCCATTTTAGGATTGTGACCCACTAATATAGGGTTTTCCAAATGTGGGTTTGTGAGTTGATAAAAATAAAATAAAACAAAATAAAAATAACTTCAATTTAGTAAAATAAAAATGAGGCTGCACAATTAATAAAAATTAAATAGTAGTAGGAATAATAATAAAAATAATAGTTTAGTAATAGTGATGATGATGATGATAATAATAATTATTATTATTATAAAAAATATTTTAGATTTATTTTAATTTAACTTTTTAATTTGATATTTAATTTAAATAATAATAATTATTATTAGTAGTATTCATATTATTACTGTCATTATGAATAATATACATAATTATTGATGTGTCATTAAATTATTAAAATATTAACTTTAAAATCTCAGTGGGTACTTCATGTAAATATTTTACTTAAGGTGTTTGGCTGACCTTTTTGGGGAATCCCTGCTCTAATGTATATGATACCTAGATGAAGTTGAAGTCCCTATAAAACACAACAGTTATTCTATATTTTTCTGAATTAGTTAAATTATTATCCATGTAGCTCAATTTTAGTTACATAAAACTTTTCACAATGGACATTGTTCCGAATCAACTTTCCAGAAAAATATTGCAGTAATAATATCTTTAATTCTGAAAGGTTCTCATTTAGCCGTTCAGTAAACAGAAATGTATGCTTTAGTAGATAGATAGGTCTCCTCATAGCTGTTTTCTTGACTGTGAAAGATGTCAAGCTGTCATTTGTGTCTCCTCTTCTTTAATAGCACATTTATTCAGAACACCCGCAATGCATGTCACATTCAAGTGACTGTAAATTGTCACAAGGTCGTCACGGGTCAGTGGTGTCACGACGCCCTCAGACTTCTTCTCGGCACAGCTGCCAGTGAATCATATCATTGAGCGTGTTCATCCAGACTCAGAGAATGTCTCATATTGTCATAGTTCAGCTGTATTTAGCCTGTGTGTTTCAGTTGCCCACACTGAGACGACCCGACTCACTCCACGCCAGACAAACCCTCTTTATTGTGCGTCTCGCTTACTGTCTCGTGCCCAGCCTTGTCTTTTAGAGAGTGATGTATGTCTCGAGACTGGTCTTGAGACCACTTTTATGTGGTCTTGTCTTGGTCTCGGACCTCTCGGTCTCGCTGTCTCAGATTTAACAATACAATACTACAATATCCATGACAATATCCCCAACGGATTAAAGCGCGCTTCAGAGTGAAGACAGAGCCATATGAGAAAACACCTTATCCACGCCACTGATCGCAGCGGCAAAGAGTACTTGATTTAAAAAACACATATCATGTTCAGTTATTGATGTATTATTATTTAGTAAAACACATATCAGTGACATGATGGGTTTTAACTTCATTCAGGATATTTTGGGTAACTGCACAACTGACCGATGAATTTGAGCGCACTGCCAACGGTGTGTGTGTGTGTGACTTCCAACTTTCGGATCCTACACTTATAATTTTGTTTTTAAAAATATAATTATGTTTTTAAAAATTGCAGAATGGATTCATTTGGAGACTTTGCAATCAGCAGAGATAGGCAGGCAATGTAAAACAAAATTTTACATGTTATTGCTTAGCTTCAACAACACATTTGTTTTTTTTTCCCCCTCTGGTCTCGACTTGGTCTCGATGCCCTCCGCTGATGAAAAAATGCTGACGAAATCCAGTCATTAAAAAGGAATTTACTGTATATTTTTGAGGAATAGATATAAAGCGGTTCAGTACACTTGAAATCAAATCGCGATGTTGACCACAAAGACTATTTAAATACGAATCCTGCTTGCCTTGTTCCATGAATAGTGCAGCCGACGCACTGTTTCATTGACGTGTGACGCTTGCGCTGTTTTTTGCCTTTATGAAGACATAAATGCATAAACTTCCTCTCCAGGCTCTAGATTAGAGCCAGACCGATATATCGGTTGGCCGATATTATCGGCCGATATTAGGGATTTTCCAACTATCGGTATCGGCAGTTATAATGGCCGATAAATGAATATTTCAAAAATAAAATAAAAACGGACCAAACGCGTTTCAACCATGTCATGAGTGTTGGAGTTGTATAGTTTGTCCACCAGAGGGCACTCTACACCGTCCCTGTTGGCAACACTCGTGTATAACGCGCCACACATCCTGTGCATAAAAGTTAGCTTAAGTTAGTGTGTAAAATCTAACGACGCCAAGTGTGCGTTGCAGACTGTCGTTCTGTAATGGGTTTAGATTAGAATCTCTAAATAGCAGGTTTTAGAAGGCAGGCAGCAACTGATGATTGAAAATGGTTTGATGTAGCTTGATGGAAAGAATTTAAAAAGTGCAGGTAAAGGGATAAGCAAGTTGACATTGTAATTATAAGGTAGCTTACAAGGCAATGTAGGTACTAATTATTATTTTATTTATCAGACCTTTAATATATTTTGATGTTGTGACAATAAAAGAAATAAGTTTCGTTTTAAAATGCATTATCATATTATTTTAGTTAAAACTCATAAATAACTACAAATTACTAATGTTAGGGAAATCTGTTAATTTTTTTGTTGCACGTTTCTGAAATAAAAAAAAAATATCGGCCGATATATCGGATTTTAAAACCAACAAATATTTGGATCTGTATCGTCCTTCAAAATTCTTTATCGGTCGGGCTCTACTCTAGATCCACTCTGAAAGTCACTTTGTGATCATTTAACCGCTTCATTTGAGAAACTATCATCATGACATAAACACACAGAAACTCAAAAGGTCTTCGTGGCAACCCGTCAAAGTAAAATTTCGGTTTAACTTGACGGAAATATATTACTGTTGTTGTACAGTAGAATTTAGATATGTCCTAATGTTAAAATATACTAACACTAATCCAAATAAATTATGATTTTTTTAACAAAACTTAATTTAAGGAATAAACTGTTTTAATTTTAAAAGTAAAGCTCAATGTGCAGAATGTTATTTTACAAAAAGATATTTTTTTCTGAAATGAACATGATTCCCCCATGAACTTATTATGAATTCGCCAGGTTTTTTTTGTCTCCGTTTTAAATGCAAAAACTGTGTGTGAACAGCCCATTATTGATTCTTCATTGCAGTCCTAAACTCATAGTGAGCTCATATTATTTTTCTGTGTTGTTCTCCACAGGTTTCAAGTGCCCCGTCTGCTCCAAGTTTATCTCTTCAGATGAAATGGACCTTCATCTGGTCATGTGCTTGACGAAACCTAGAGTGACATACAACGGTGAGAATGTTTGTGTTGCTGCCTGCTTCAAGTGTTATGCTTATACAGTGGAAAATATGTTGGAGTCTCTCCTGCAAAGAAAGAAAGGCATTGTGTTTGGATGTAATTCCGGTTCCAGAGGAGCGCGTAATGCTGTAATTATCTCATGTTCAGGCCTGGCAGCCACCTCTCACTGTTTTATAGTCCACAATCTATCCGGCATAAGCGGACCGATTTGGCTGCTCACAAAAGGGATTGGTGATTTGTTGCAGTTTTGTGCGTTCATGTCAACATCTAATTTTCCAGCGGTTGCAGTTTGTTTCTTGCACAGAAACGTGCCGTGACATGCTGTGATGAGGAGCTTTATTTATGCTGAGTTTGTGTTTTATGGAGTGTCTTGCAGGTTTAATATATTTAATGTTTGTTTATTAAGGTAACGTGTCTCCTCGCACTAGCACGCAGACATTATCCAACTGTTAACACCTGGCAATTTAGCTAAAATAATACCTAATTATTTAACAGCTTTTTGATAATATTCAAAATTTAAATTTGTGTATTTCCTCAAAAAAGTACTTAAGAGTGATATTATTGTTAGTAGAAGTAGTAGTAGTAAAAATTATATTTCTGCATTTACTCTAAAGGTTATATTATAATTTTTTTCTTATCTTTGATAAGTTTAGATGAAATGCATAATTATACATTTCAGTAATAATAATGATAATATTTATTATCAATTAATATTTCCTCTAAAAGGACTTAAAAGTCATTATTATTAAAATATATATATTTGTGCATTTCCTTTAAAAGCACTTCATAGTTATATTTTATTATTATAGATAATTATTATAGAAATACATAAACTAAATGTAAGTTTTCTAAAGAGCAAGTCATTAAAGTCATCATTCCTTGTCATGAAACTAGTTTAATGACTTGCTCTTTAGAAAACTTAATGACCAAATACATTTATTTTATGTATATCTATAATAATTATCTATAATAATAATAATAAAAATATATAGTAATATTTTTATTATTTTTTTTTTTGCAAATACAATTAAAACCCATGTTGCTTAATTTTATGTCACCAGCAAAATTATTGAATTTGCCCTGTCTATATCTACAGTATATATTCTCTCATCAAACATTTTGAGTGGATAGCTCATTGTTATTTTAGTCAAGCCAGTCTGGGTCTTTGAGGGTTTAGTCCTGCCTGTTGCATAAACTGCTAAGACTAGTTTTACAAGTTAGTCATAAATTTTTTTTCTTTAACACCGTTTATAACTTGAAGTCAGTTAATTAAAAGCACAGATTGGTCTTATTTGATTCCAAAAATGTATCAACTGCTAGTTGATGATCATACTAAGACACAGTTGCTATTTTTATGCAACTGGTTCCTGATCTTGCACTATCTGTTGAATGTGAGACCTGACGTTAATAGCAGGCGTAAATGGCTTCATTGGCTTTCTACTGACTCATTTATTATTGTTTTACAATAAGTTTATAGTTGGTATCATATAGAATTTGTTCAGCCATAATCCTCAACCTGAGCGTGAATTTGTCCCCTTTTCCTGTCTGACTCGTTTAGTCATCTTGTTATTATAGCCCTTTGTCGTGTTTTTAGGCATCGTCAGTTTCCATAAACTTGACGGGACAGATAGAGTCCTCTGTGCAGCTGGGGAATGTGCCAAGCTGAGAGATGTTATAATGAAAAATCTGATCTAAAACAACATGAGATATCCAGCGGTTAGTGGCGTAGCTGCCAGGTTTGTGTGACGGAGAACAACCAAAGGGGGGAAAGTCATCAACAGAGCTGTATTTACTGAATAACGAAAAATTATTACAAAATATGAAGTAATTAAACATGATATATCTGCAAGGCTTTATGGTTTCAACCACTCTTTGGTTTATTCCATTACTCACCTTTTTTTCATCTATTGAGACCCTCAGTGCTTTACCAGATCCACAGATATCAGACTGCTGGGAGAGTTTTTGGCTGAGAGTGATAAATGCCCCCCTGGCTCATTCTTCCTCCCATTGACGACAGCAGCTAATTTTAGTACATCAACACAACAGCATTAAAAGCTGCAAATAAAGCAGCGGTAAAATGAAAATCAATAGGGCTGGTTGAATGAGGATGTCTTTCTCTAAAACCTCTGTGTTTGCTGTTTTTGTGAACATTTATCCTTCCATAATATATCCTTATTCTCAGTTCTTCTGTTTGGATTGTTTTAGTATATTGATAGTTAGTGTACTGAATATTATGCAGTATAAACTAGTATTCCAATCCATCCGCAGCACATTTAATCTCTGTAATGTGACGTATTTATGATTGGAAATTGAGTATTCTTCAGCACTAAAAATGGCTATGAATAGTTGTTTTCTTATAATTAAAAACAAATTGTTAAATGTTTAGGTATATATTACACATATACATGCATGCATGCATACAATGTAAAAATAAATATAATTCATACTTAAGAATGAATGGTGTACTACTTACTTGGACTTTTATTAGGGAAGCAAATATAAACTGGATTATGATTGCAGGTTATCTTTAAAGTTATCAAAAGTACTTTAAAGGAGTCAAAAGTTACTCTATTTATTTTCTTAGCTCGTGTTATTTTGGTCCTGGTCTCATTAAACAATTTGTCTGTGCATATTATTACGGTATAAAGAAAAAAATGTTTGTCTTTTATAATCAAAATAGAGAAAAATTGGATAAAATCAAGTTCTGTCCTTCTGTGTTTCTCGTTCAATATTAAACATGTCAGATCATGGGTGACGTTACATGGTGAACATAGCCAGTTCTTGAGGCTTTTGATAGCGGGATATGGCAGTGTGTGTGAGTTTGTCTCTCCATCTCTTACCGCTGTAGCCCACAGAGTACCAAACACCAGATGCATGCTCTCCCTCCGGGGCCCGTCTCGACACAGGGCCTCTGCTGCTAATCTGGGCCAAACACACTCACAGCACCACACGTAGAGCACTTGGCAGTGAACATAATAGGGCAGATGATGAATAAACTGCTCTAGTGCCGTATCTCTCAGATGTTTGGAAGGAAGCAGTAAGGAGCCAGATGCTTGCCACATTTATTAAACACTCTCAGCAAACACAGTTATTTCATTAAGATTTATTAGTTGAACTTTGACAGACATCAAGAGCCATTAAGATGAGGGAAAAGATCAAGTGAAAATGCAATACCCAAAATCACCCAAAAAATATGTGGTGTAGGATTTAATAATTTTTTCCCCCATTATTTTTAAAGCATCAAAGGAAATTATAAATGTATATTTAATATTAAAATATTATAATTCACATTAGGAATTTCCAATTAGAAAATCATATATATATATATTAGAAATGCACGACTCGATTTAAACACCCACATGATCTATTAAACCTTTGTCCGATACGATCACAACCACCGATGAAGCTGTCATGTATAGGTATAAACCGCTTTACAAATGGCATCGTTATTTCTGTTATAATTCTGTTACAAAGTTTATCCACAAGTTTCCTTTATAAAAAATAAAGTGAGTGAAACTTCCGGTGACGCGGCGGAAGTAGCATTCCAATGGTATTTTGTGTGTTAGTTAGCGAAGAGGCTAGCTGTTTTTCGGAGAATTATTTTACTATTTAAAGACTCAAATCTTTATGAGAGATGTCGTTACGGAGCTCGGGGACAACATGTGCTGTTCGCGGTTGTATGTATAACCGGACTAAACTAATTTAGTGGCTTAAACGTGATTGTTTTGAACATAAGCTGAAAACGAAATCAGAGTGATCCCGCCAGAGCCCGTCTCTGATCCTGCCAACGACTGTAGTTTCCATCACCTCCCAAAAGACGACGAATCATCCTGTGTACATTTGTTTAAATTCTTAATATTCTATAAACTCTATCAGCATGTGATTGGCTGTTCGCTACTGATGTTACAGCTAAACTAAGGATCAAAGCCTGTGTTGACAGAATACCAAATGTGCCAGTTAATGTATTCAAGTAGCACATTCATTTATAATTTTGAATAAACTCCAAAGCACAATGACTAAATGTGTATTTTGTATTTTAATTGTTTGTCAGCTCGCACAACTGTCTGTCACCATGCCTTGATGAGTATTGATTATTAATAATGTTATTATAATACTCCCAATCAACTACTGCAGAGGGTAAAGTTACTGTTATTTCACCCTTTTTAATTTCGTTGAGGTTGTGTTCCCACATCGTTAGCTAGTTTGGATCGCTATAACTTTTAATGAATGTCAACTGTTGAATGAGCGAGTGTCAAGCATGTCAAGTCGCGCTTTGTTTACTTCCAACCGGAAGTCGCGCCCACTTTTGACGCAAGGCCTCATGGGGCGTAGGAAACTTGTGGATAGTTTGGATATAAACACTAATGTCTCCGGTAGCGACCAAAATAGAATAAATCATCTTTTAAAAGTAACTTGACGCTTCAAATAAATGTATCAATTGCATTGTTAGACCAGTAGGTGGCGACAAGTGTATTTCTCATTGAATCATTCATTCAAGAGATTCGTTCAAAAACCCTGATATGTATGTGTATATTTATGTAAGTGTGTGTGTTTTCTATGTATAATATAAATATCCTTTCATTTATTTAACTATGAAGCCAAACAAATCGTATGCTTGAATATTTCAGCTCGTGCATCACCTCTCATCATCTTACCCTCTGTGTTGCATTTATACAATGTATTTGAACCGTATTTGAATTGTCTTATTCATCTCGCACTGCAAGAATTTTTGAGCTAAGCATTCCCATGATGCAAAGCAGCCACATATGCTGGTCCTGTTGCATTGCTCATGAAGGAGAGTGTGGAGAGAAAGCGTGTTCAGCCCATTGCGGATCCCAGAAGTCTGTGCTGCATGCTAAGACTCTGGCCGCGTGACAGGAAATCCCTCAGCCTCGACAACTTCTTAAGAGAGCGAGACCGTGAGGGCAGGAAAAAAGGCTCTGTGAAGCCGGGCCGAATCGATAACTGTCCGCTCTGAGTTATCATGAGTATAG